ACAACCTGTGATGTAAATATTCACAGCAGTATAATTTTTAATTGGCAAAACTGAAAACAGTCTAATTCCTACAGGCTGACATGTGGATAGATAAAGTGCGGGGTATCAACACCATTGAGTAAAAAGGGATGGAGCACCCAGCACGCAGCAACACACACAGACCTCAAAAGCATTGTGGTGAGTGAAAGAAACCAGATGCAAAAGATCTCAAGGCTGGGCATGGTGGCACATGGCTGCAATTCCAGCCCTTGGGAGGCTGAGGCAGGAGCATGGCAATGAGTTCAAGGCCAACTGGGGCTACATAGTGAGTTCAAGGCCAACCTGAACTACATAGCAAGACCTTGTCTTAAAAAACAAAACAAAACTGGCCTGGGATTTAGCTCAGTGGCACCGCACCTGCCTCGAAAGCAAAGGGCCCTGAGTTCGATCCCTGGTACCAAAACTAAACAAAAACAAACAAAAACATCTTAGGAAGTCATTTATATGACATTTCAGGCAATGCAAAAGTGGGAGTCAAGTAGGGCACTGGTACGAGTGCCAAAGGGGGCTGTTTGTATCATTAAAAGTTCTAAAATGTTCACCATCACTGAAGTAGGGGGTAGACTGTGAAGGAGCATAACAGCACTTTCTAAGGTACTGGCCACGTTCTGTATCTTGATTTGGGTGCTGTTTCATTGTAGAAATTGGTCATGTGTACATGGGCAAAGCTGTGCATTTAAAATGAGTAAATTTTATTGTATAAAATGGGTCTTTAAATTCTGGGGGAGAATGGAGCACGAGGGCGGTGGTAATGTGTGCCTGAACCCTAATGTGGTCACAGCATGTACATGTGTGAAGAGGAAAAGCAGACATGTAAGTGCATTATCCAGCATCCTTGGGGCAGGGATGAAAAGCAGAAGCTGAGAGTTAAGAAGTGGACACATTTTGGGGGCTAGGAACCAGACTTGAAATAGGAGATGGCTGCTGCTCATAATCTTCATGGTACTATTTGATTCTTCAAACTACATACGTGTTCTTTCCTTGATAAATATCAAGGTCATATTTTTTAGAGTGAAGAAAGGTTTGGATAAAAGAGCACCTAGTCCAGTGGAGGGATAATGTTTGAAATACCCAGAAAGCCTCCGACTGGGAGAAACCTGGTAGAAATCCAAGTTTCCTCCCAGTTACCATTCTGCAGCTTTTTCAGTGCAGCTGGCCTCCCAGCCTTAGCTGTCTCCACCATGCCGGGGCCAGGGCCTGCAGCCCAGGTGGCCTGTTCTTTCTCCTGGGCCTCCTGAATGTCCAGCACAGCTTCACTGAAAGCCATTCTTCGTGGGGAGCTGTGGCTGCCATAGGCTGTCTCTATTCTGGAAAGTATGCTGGGTTCCAGAAGAGCACTAATGAGGTAGTAGGTAAACTGGGGTTTCTTTTGTTTTTTCTTCTAAGTTCTTTTATTGGTACATTTTAGGTATACAGTTCGTTTACATTTATCACTGGGTGCTTGTACCTGTACATGATGTATCTTGGTTATTTTTTTCCCCATTACCTGTGGGACCTTCACCCCCTCTGCCCTTCCCTATTTACATAGACATCATTTCCATTTTTTTTTTCCTTTTCTCATAGTTTTTCCTTTGTCTCCTTTCCTTTCCCCTTCCCCTCCCTTCACCCCTTCATCTTTGGACCTTTTTTCCTATTTTGAATTATCAATTATTCATTTTAACCCTTGTTTACACTATCAGTTTCTCACACTAGTGAAACTATTCGGTATTTACATGTGTGTCCTATTTATTTCACGTAAGAGCATGGCCTCTATATGCATCCATTTAGCTATAAATGACTCTAGTTTTTCATTCTTTATGGCTGAGTAGTACTCCATTTTATAAAAAAAACCACATCTTCTTTATCCAGTTTCCAATTGATGAGCACTTGGGCTGCTTCCAAGTTTTAGCTATTACAAACTGCTGCTATAAACATGGGTGCACATATATATATTGCTGTGGTATGATTCTTTTAATTCTTTGGGGAAGATACCCAGTAGGGGAATAGCTGGGTCAAATGGGACCTCTAGTCCTAGTTCTATGAGGTATCTCCATATTGATTTCCACAGTGGTTGCACCAGTCTGCACTCCCACCAACAATGGAGAAGGGTTCCTTTCTCCCCACATCCCCACCAGCATTTGTTATTGATTTCTTGATAGCAGCCATTCTTTCTTGGGCTAGGTGGAATCCCAGTGTTGTTTTCATCTGCATCTCTTGAATGACCTAAACTGGGATTTCTTTGTTTACAGGGCTACGTGTGATAGCACTCTTGCCATAGCACCTATGGACTCTTCTGTATGTATACTGTACTAAAGTAATGCTTCAATGTATCATAAGCTAGATTTCATTAGGTTTCCCCCAAAATGGCAAAACCAAACCATTGTTTAGGAGTACCTACAAAGGTAATAAAAATATAAGAGCTGGGTGTGGTGGTGAACACCTGTAAACTCAGCACTTGGGAGACAAAGGGAGGATGACTGCTGTGACTTCAAAGCCAGCCTGGGCTACATAGTGTGTACTAGGCCAGCCTAAACTACGTAGAGAAACCAGTCTCAAAAAACAAACAAAACCCCAATAAATAGCCAACTTAGAGATCACCTTTGAGATGCAGAAGTGGCTTGCAATCAGGAGTGGGCAGGATTGGGCTGCAATTAGAGGACCTTCTTAGGGGTAAACTTAATTTCTTGGCCTGGATGGCACTTACACATGCATTTGATTTATAACTTTGATAAAATGAATGCTTTATGCACTTAGACAAAGAAATTTAGTAGATTCAGATCAATCTAATCTAATACAGGACTGTTTAAGTGTAATAGTAATGTTATTACACATCCTTTATAATGAAACATCTATGGTCCTATATGTGTTCTGAAATGACAAAAGTTAAGTTAGAGATGAATCTGGTACGACACCACATACTCTATATACACATGTATATTTTATATTACAGATACTATACATAATAATATATACATGTAGAGAATGTGTTTAAATTCTAGAACTGGTCAGCAATTGTGAGGAGACCAGAAACAAAAGATGTTTTACTTTTTTTGTTTTTTGCACCGGTGATCGATCTCAGGACCTTTTGCTTTTGAGACAGGTAGCGGCAACCACTGAGCTAAATCCCTGACCCTGTTTTACTTCTGAATTTTATGTTATGTTCACTTGTTATCAATCCAATAAAGAAAAGATATTTTTTAGAATACTTGTGTATGTATAGGGTCTTTCCAAATTTTTATGTCTAGGTTCTTACAAAATACTTCAGCAAATAAAAGGAACTGGCATCCGAATACATTTAGCTGACCATGGGCATGTTAATCACAGGCTTTTTGATTTTTTGGTGCTGGGGGTGGAACCCATGGGTTTCCCCACTGAGCTATACCCCAGCTCCCGCTAAGGCTTTTCTAAGCAAATATTTCTCACATAATATGAACCTGGCACTGAGGGCACTGTGTTGGGCTTTATGAAGATAAATAAGTCAAAAATGTAAGCCCTTATGGAAAAGGGCATTGGTGAGGGAGAAGGCAAAGGAAAGGAGTAATGGAGGATATCACCAAATTCTCTTCATGTGTCCACTTAATTTTGCTTTTTATCTTTATAAAATGAGCTTAGAAAAAAAAAAAAGGGCAATCCACTTTCTGATCCCCCTTCTGTCTCTTAGAGAGAAGCTATCTTTCAATAAATTCTTCCTACTCATAAAAAAATAATGTGGTTAGGCCATGTTTCTTATCTTGAAAACTCTTAGAAATCAGTAAGAAAATACATACTTTATAGATTTCTGTCACTAAAGTACCTGAGTAGTGGAATACTCAGTTCTCTACACTCAAGCTTTCCCACCCTCAATGTCTGTTATGGTTTGTATCTAGATGTCTCCCCAAAGCCTCATATGATCATAGGAAGGGCCTTTCGGAGGTTGGTATTACAGTTGACTTGCTATTAAGAGGTACAGCCTGGCCAGAAGAGATGGTGCACTGAGAGTATGACCTGGAAATAGGTATCTCTTGTTCCAGCTCCTCCCTTGATTTTGCTTCTCCACCATCATGACATGAGCAGTTTCTCCTCCATACCCTCTCCCAGCCAACCTGCCTTGGAGCTAACTGACTATGGACTGAAACATGAGCCATCTCCCTCAAGTTATGGGTGTTGAATATTTTGTTTCAGCAAGAAGAAAGTAACTAAGACACAGTTTGATACCAGGAGGGGTCATTACTGTGACACTGCCTGACCACTTGATTCAAAAGCCTTTGGAACTTGTTTGCAGGAGGGATTTGGAAAAGTTTGGAGATGCTGACTGGACAAGCAGCCTAAAATGCTGTAAGCCAAGTTTTATGGGAGATTCTAATGGGAGCTCAGAGACCAGAATGCTGATGAAAAGACAAACAGTAATGACCAGGTTCAGGAGGTTTCTGTTGTGAATAAGGAATCAATGGACTCCAGACTGTGTAAGTTATACTATGGCAGAAAGCTTGTCTACATTTTGCTCATTTCTTGAGATTTTGCAGGAGATTGAGATTAAGGACAGTGGATTAGTTAATCTGTAGAGGAAACTTCAAAGCAGACCAATGTTGAGGATGTAGCAAGGATCCTGCTTGCTACTTTTAAGTCAGGTTTATACTAAGAAATAGGAGCAAAAAGCCTACTTAAAAATTTTTCAGTTTTGCTAGAAAGAAATTTCCTGCAAAGATGGAGGTGAATGTGGTTGTTGAGATTAGCATTAAAAAGAAGCCAATTCCCCAAAGAGCTTAACATATACTACAGAGATATAGCATACCAATGTTCATAGCAGCACAAGTCATAATAGCTAAATCCTGGAAGGAGCCTGTATACCCTCAACAGATGAATGGATAAAGAAAATGTGGTATCTATATATAATGGAATACTACTCAGGTATAAAGGACAAATTTGAGACATTTGTTGGACAATGGATGCACCTTAAATATATAATGTTGAGTGAAATAAACCAGACACACAAGCTTAAATACTGTATGGTATCTCTCATTTGAGTAAGACAAAGTACAAACAAAAATAATAATAAAGGATGGATAGAAAGGGACAAAGAGATGGATCTCTTGTAAATAGAGGGGCCCAAGAGACTAAGGGCAAGGGCTAAGGAGGAAGGGAAGGGGAAATAAGTAGAATAAAGATGTGCCATGTACAGGGACCTAGTTATTTCATGAATGTAAGCATTTATATGCCATAAACATGAGCTAAGATTAATAGTATCAACAAAAATGAAAACGGGGAAAAGGGAATCAGAGGAGGAAGAGGGAGGGAGGGGAAGGGGAAAGGAAAAGGGATTAAAAACAGAAGCAAGTTGTATTATGTACATATACCCACTCCCCAAGATAATTGTAAACTGCATGTACTGCAAACATGTTCTAATAAAAAAAGAGAAGCCAAGTACTTTACAGCAGGACAATAAGATCAGTAGAGGGCATGTGAGAAATAGGCAAGGGCCCACCCACTGCAGGCTTAAAATTGCAAAAGTAAAAAACTGCTTTGAGAAGAATGTCCCAGAGCATGGTGCTCCAGAATGGCTGCCTAAGGAATTGGATTCCTGGGAACTGGCTCATATTGCTCAGTCATCCAGGCACTCAGAGGCCTGTACAACCATAATTCAACAGGCCTGGCAGCAGACCTTGGCATTGTCCACATGCTATTTGTTTTTACAGGTGTGTAAAATGCAAGAATTGTGAGGTCAGGAAGGCTTCCACCCAGATTTCAAAAGAAGGCCTTGGGGGGCCAGGCAGTGTGGCCGAGAGGGCAGTATGTGAAGCTGAAAGTGCAGAGGAGAGCCCAGAATTTTGGAGAAGCCAAGACTGTGGCATGTCTGCTCAGGAGAGCTGCAAGGAGTAAGCAAAGCAATGAGAGCTAAAGCCACCAGCAATGCCTTAGGAACGGCATCACCCAAGCCCTTTGGACTTCACATCCCATTGCCACAACTTGCCCCAGGTGCCAGACTTGGAGCTACAGAATTTAATGTTTGCTTTGCTGGGTTTCGATCTTGCTTTGGTCCCATTGGTTTCTGTCCCCTTGTTCCTTGTTTTTAGAATGGGAATATTTACACTATGCCTTGTATGTTGGAAGTATTTAACTTCTTTTTGATATTTACAAGGGTTCATAGCTATGAATTTGCCTTAAGCTTCAGAGGAGACTTCTGACTTTTAAAGATGAATATAATGCCTTTTGGATAAAGAAATGTACTCAAATCTTTTGGAGACCAGGGGCAGGATGTTATGGCTTATATCTATGTTTTCCAAGAGCCTCATGTTATCATACATGGGGCTTTTGGGAAGTGATAGGATTATGGGGGCATTATAGCTGACTTGCTGTTAAGAGGTGCAGTCTTCTCAGTAGAGGATCTCTTGATTCTCTCTGCTTCTCCACCATCATGACATGAGCAGCTTCTCCTCCTCCATAGCCCTCTGTCATGCTGTTTCTGCCTTAGAGCACTCCACAGATTGAAATACGAGCCAAAGCAAACTTCTCTTCCCTTAAGTTATGGGTGTTGGGTATTGTTTCTTTCAGTGACAAGAAAGTAATTAAGAGAGTCTGCTCCTTCATTTTCAGTTCCCAAGGAGGCACAGGTGAGATCCTAAGTACGTACACTTTTCCCATCTTTGTCCACTTGATATGTGTTAGCAACAGTGAAAACCCAATGGATAATTCATTGAGGTGCCCAAGGCCCAGAATGATGTGGAGGGAAACCAGGGGGCATTTGACACAGCACATTGGATGAATGTCCGTTTCTGGGCAAGGATGAGAGTACTAGGAGGGAAAAAGATTTCTTGCAGTAACAAAGAAGTTTATTGCTTGTTGAGTCTCATTTACCTGCAGTTATATCTTGAAAATGAGAAATTCTAGCCATTTCCAAAAGTAGCTTTTTTAAGGGTATGAGGTGGTCTATGGAAGATCTGAGTCATCTCAAAGGACAGAGGTTCAGAAGCATTTCACTGTTGCAGTGATCCAAACTCATGCATGTCATTTCTTCATCAAAATCCCATCGGCCACTCTTGCCTGGCAGTGAGTATTGCTGGTGAGGATGAGAGGTATAGGTGAGCAGGAAGGGGTCTTCCTGTGGTGCAGGGTATGTGAGGGAAGGCACATAGCTGTTGAAATCGACAGGTATTTTCTCCTCGTAAACATCACCTCCTGGATTTGGCCACAAAGGGTGGCAGCTGGCTTTGGGTGCAGGTGGCTCCAAAGGAATCTGCTGGGGCAAGGGTTCCAAAGAGTTCTGGGAAGGAAAGAAGTCACAAGGCCAGTTGGTCAGAGGAAAAGGATAAGTGGGGCAGCAGCTGTCATTAAGAGAATTTCTTCCCAAAGCAGAGTTTTTACTCCACGTTTGTAGATCGTCATAATCTGAGTAGACTCCTGGTGCTGAAGGCTGAAAAAGGTCTCCATTGCTGTGAATCCGACCATCGGACAGCTTGCATTTTTCATAGAGCTTAGTGGAGTCCAACGTGGATGGCAGACTCGCCAGATCCGTAGTATCTATGGGTCCCCCTGACCCGTAGCTCTTGGAGAAGGGTAAGCAATCATTCAGTGGGTTCTGCTGGGGAGCGTTAGCTATTAAGTGTCCACTGTGACTACCAGGCAAGTGGACACCTTCCTGGAATGACCAAGTTAAAGGTAAACTTCCCTGATTTGGCCTTTTACTTGGAGGAACCTGGAAAGGAAAGTGAAATGCTCATGTTAATAAGTTAAGCAAATCTGCACAACTACCACAGGCACCTATGAGTTACTCTGTACTGCACAAGTGCCTTGTCGGATTTTCCTCATTCCTCGCATACTTCAAACCCTGACACACAGCCGCTTTGCCACAGCCACAAGGGCCTTGGGAGTAGTGAAGGCCGTTTCCATCTCCTCTCAAAGTTCTTTCACCAGTGAGAGCTGCAGTTTCCAGCACAAGGGTGTGTAAGATGTTTCACACACAGACGTAAATCTGATATCTTAACTCCTTTCTGGAAAACTCTGAGGGAATGCTTCAGAAAAACCAAACTACAGCCTCAAAAGATTTGTATTATACTCAGTACAAATTTCAGGGATATTTTTCTTTCTCTCCATTTCTCTCCCGCTCTCCCTTCCTCTTCTTCCCTCCTCCTCTTCCCAGCCCTCGTTCCCTCCCTTGACTTATCCATTTTTTTAATACTGGTTGGAGTCTGAAAACTCAGGGGTGTTTTTTCCTTCTTAAGAAAATTTTCTCTGAACTTATAGGAAGTTTGTTGAATTATAAGCAGGCCATTTAGAACATGAAATAATCAATGTGGTACCTTGGTTCACAAGCTTAATTTGTGCTATGATTTTAGAAAAGATGGCCACGTTTGTGTTTGTGCGGGAAAGATGGCCACAGTCGTGTTTGTCACTCAATACAGTTTGCAAGCAACAATAACAAAAAATTTGCCAAATGCTTCTGTTTGCGAACCAAATTGCAAACAAAAGCATTCATGAACCGAGGTACCACTATATTTTTATACATGGAGGAAGTACTGATCTCCAGTTAATCGTAGGAAAATAATCTGGTCGAGAATTAAGTTATGCTCTTCTTTATGTAAAACTATCCGCTAATAAGAGAATAGGCAAGTTGCTGCCTGTTTTGAGCACACGTGATGACAAGCTGTTACCTTGGTCTCTGGGCTTCCCTTCCGCTTTAAGGAGACAGAGGGTGATGCTGCATGCACTTTCTTCACTGCTCTTCTTGCCTCCGCTTCTAACTTGGTCTCTGGCCTCGGATGATCATGCTGTCCCTTTGACTGAAAGGCGATAAGGAAGTAAACAGGAAACAAAGTGAGTAAGTGGGTTGTCCTTGTGTATTCCGTCTTTGTGCTGCCACATGACTGGGCAGTTTGGCAGTTGCTGGGTGTAACAAGGCTGGAGAAACCTTTGACGCCCAACCCAAGCCATCCTTTGCTTGCTTGCTGCCTACCTGTCATAGGACCCTTTCCTGTGTTGCCTTCATCTGTCCTGCTTCCTGTAGCAAGTGCAGGATATTAATAAGCCTGCACATTGGTTTCAGTGAGCATGACCTTTGAGGTGCATACTATTATTATCACCCCATTTATGGGACAGGAAATGGAGGCCACTTGAGTCTCCTTCCTGAGTTAAGTGAGGGTCTGAGGTCTCCCCAGCTGGAGCTGGCCAAGTAGAGAGCTGATTGTGAAACACTCAAGAATTTCGTGAGCAGATTACTTAAAATGTCTGGTAGCTTGAAACCACCCATGGTGGGAATAGTTACAGCACAGAAATTGGCAAACCTCCCAATTAGGCCTTTTGTTTTTTTGAGAGCTGGTTTGCCAGTACTGCAGTGATTCAAACCCAGGCAGTCTGACATCAGAGAGCTCCTCCTTTACCACTGTATATGTCACTTCCCCCACTTGTACTTCTCACATATTGTACTGAAAAACGGGGGCTTTAGGGATGAAAGCAACTCCTCTGACTTCCAGCAGTAAAGTCAGAGCTGAGGTGGGCATGGGGCATGCCTGAAATCCCAGCACTTGAGAGGCGGAGGCAGGAGGATTGCAAGGGTGAACCCGGCCTGGGCAACTCATTGGCTCAGGAAAGTTCGGTCTCTAAATTTATTTTATAAAGGGGTGGGGTGGAACCTTGGGTTCAATCCCCAGTACTGCCAAAAAGTAAAAAAATTTAAAACTAAAAAAGTCTAAATGGCTAAGGGTACAGCCCAGTGTGAAGGCTCTGTGTTCAATCTGAAGTATTGCCAAGAAGGAAAAAGTAAGTCAGAGCTGGCATTCCAGCTCAGGTGTAGGAGGCTCCAAGCTAAGAGCTTGGTGTGGGGCTTGGACAGGCTGACGCCTCCCAGCACTCAGCCAGCAAGACCGCAGATATTTGTGCCCCAGGCTTGTGGCCGCAGGGTGGGGAGCAGGGTCCCGTTCCCCTGTGTCCCTCCAGCCTCACATGATACTGCTCCATAACACTTTCAAGGTAAAGAGAAGCAGAATCCCATAAGGAACTCAAATCCAACCTGGAAAAATATGAAGCGTCCGTCATGCCTCCAGAAGTTGGTGACTGGGAAGCCGCCGTGGCCTCGGCAGGGAATCAGCTTCAGAGGCCCGTTGCAGTTGGGACAGCATTTCCCTGTAGAGGAGCAGCAGAGAGTGAGTGACCTCACGGCTGCCGTCTGGGCTCAGCCTCGACCCCAGGAGGACCAGGAGGGGTCCTCCCTCTGTCAGGGAGGTCCTCACAGCCTCCCTGCGTCACCCTGACTTAGGGTTGCCCTCCATGTGCCTCTCTGCTCTCACACAGGGACACAGCCAGCAGCTGCCGACCAAAGTGGGCACTTTACAGGGCACAGAGAGCTCTTCTGAGCAGAAAACCTCTCCCTTCTCATTGACTTGGATTTAAATTCTTGGTAAAGAGAGGAAAAACTTATTTTATTTTACAACTAGAATTAAGGATCGAGGGGCAAAGCCATATAGGCGAGGGTGAAAATGACTTCCAACAGGTCCTGAACTGACAGCAGGTTCTGCAGACAAATAACTAAGAAAGATCATGAAGTAACTTGAGGTTCGGGGTGGGCTCAGGGCCCAGGTTACACTGGATGCATCTATTTCACAGGCCTGGTGAGTATGGTAAAATAAAAGGAAAGAACAACTATTTCAGTGGAAACCCAAATGGACAGAACTTCACACTTTAGCTCGCCACTGCTGCTGAAAATAACGAGTTGATAAACTACTGTCTCCTGAATTTATATGGGCCACTCATGCATTTGCACCAGTCCCCAGATGACACCTCTTCCTTCTGACAAGGGCCTAAAGCTGGCTATCTTAATTCAAGGGTGCTGTGTTCAGGGCGGGGGCTCAGTGGCTCCCTCATCTATTCAATGCTGGAACAGCTCTGCCCGGTGCTGATCAGGGTGAGGCTTTCCTAGGCCTTGGGATGTGTCAGGACAAGGTGGTCCATCTGGGCAGGGGCCCTGAAGGGTGGTGCTGCCACCATCCCCACTCACGCTGCTGCTTCTGCCGGGCTTTGTCACAAATGGCGGGCCTCAGGTAGATCTTCCGTCCATCCTTTGTGGAGCAGTCTCGGCCGCAGACCACCACACCCAGGCAGGACTTCTTAAGGATGCGTGAGTTGTGGTTGTTGGTGTTGCGCATGGCCCAGCTGCTTAGGTGGCGCTGTGCACTCCTGTCCTCCGCGCTGTAGATGTGCTTCACATAGGAATCTGGCCACTCCTGGAACCAGTCAGTCTTCTTCACATTCTGACGGAAGCATAAAGACCACTTGTATAGTTTGAGCCAGAAAACGCAACTGTCTACTACTGCAGGCTCAGCAGAGGTGAAGGGTATTCTGACCATTGAAAGCTGCTCACAACGCCGTTGGCAAAGCCTTACCTAAATTTATGGTGATGCTAGAATCTCAAAGCACAACTCAAAGCAATGCCACGCCTGTCAAGCATTCAGCCACTAGACCAACAGGAGCTGGAATTCAGTCCCTCTGAGTTCTATCTGATTGAGGTTTCTCTAGTCTTCAGTGATAAAAGTAATGACCATTTCTCAGTAAGACTTTGTGAGGGTGAAGAAATATCATTGTGGTCTTACATAATAACTGAAAAACTACAGCAAGACAGTGAGATAACACCTTATTGGGAACCCAACGAGTTTATGCAAAGTCACTAGAGATAAGCAGTGGGGAGACTGGAGAGCCCTGGTTTTCAGAAAGGTCTCAGGAGCCACTTTCTCTCCCATGAAGAGCCTCTTCCTTTTTCTCTCTGTCCATTTTCACATGCATCAAATGTGGCAGAGGACTCAGGAAGAGCTTCAGTGTTCTTGCCAGGATTGGCATTACACTCTGCCCATGGACATCTCACCGAACTCTCCTACAAAAGTCAGAGGTGAGGGGAGTTGTTCAATGCCCAGAGTTTCAGTTTTGCAAGATAACAGAGTTCTAGAGATTGGTTGCCCAATAACATGCATATAGTAACCCTACTGGACCGTATTCTTAAAACTAGTTAAGATAGTAAATTTTATGTTGTGATTTTGGCCAGAATGAAATAATGAAAAGGTCAGGGACATAGTCCTGATGGCAAAACTTATTTTGTTTTCTGTGCCTTCTGTTCTTTATCTGTAAAACAAGGATAATATGACTCACCTACTTCAGGAGAGTGTTGTATAATGTACTCTTACACAACACCTGGTGTTCTGTGGGCTCTAAATAAATGTCAGTCACAGGCGATGTGGCTCATGTTCCCAAGCCAGTGACAGATGCCATATTTGACAGATCCTGCCTACTTCTTAGAAAGAGCATCAGCAAATGGTCTCAGCAGTCAGTGTTACACTATTCCCATCCCCATGGCTTTCAGGGAGTTGCAATGATGTAAGAACACTTTTCATGTAGAAGAGTCTAGGTGGTCAGACTAGGAGATTCTAGAAGGTCCAGAAGGGTGCCTCTTCTTTGTTTCCCCAACAAGAAAGCATGGGACAGAATATGAGAAAAGAGGCCCGGGGATTTAGCTCAGCGGTTCTGGCCCCTGCCTTGCAAGCGCAAGGTCCCAAGTTCGATTCCCGGTACCGAAAAAAAAAAAAAAAAAAGAAGAGGAGACTATTGCATAAGGGCCGGGGATTTAGCTCAGTGGTTCTGGCACCTGCCTCAAAAGTTCAAGGACCCGAGTTCAATCCCCAGTACCGAAAAAAAAAAAAAATGAGAAAAGAAAGACAAGAAACTCTAGAAGGAAAAACATAAATATTAACTTCAGGGTGAATGGGCATTTACTGAGTTAGACTTCAGGTTTAGAACATGCCAAAGAATACGAAGTTGCCCAAGAAGAGAAGGGGGAAGGCGTAGATAAATGATGATCAAAATATATAATGAGTATTTAAATTTTAAAAGTGCATCACAATAAAGAAAAAACAGTGCCATTAATCCCCCTCAATACCACTCATCTTGGCTTCAAATACACTTATGCCATCATTCTTGCCACTTTCTGCAGAAGTTCTAGAAGTTGTCTTTCCTGAGTGTCTTTAGTTGTGCTGTTGCAGCTGCTTTGATGTCCTGAATTGATTCAAGACATTGACCTTTCACAGTCATTTTGACTTTGGGGAAGAGCTGGAAGTTTCATGGTGCCTGATCCAGTGAGTAAGGTGGATGAGGATGCAGTGTCATGTCTTTTTGAGCTCCCTTTCTTGTGGATCACACCCAGCAGCACTACCACCATATTTTTTATCACACATCATTAAGACACAAAAGAGGATTTCCAGAACTACTTCAGTAAAGTGGCAGGAATGATGAGATAGTGTATTGGAAGGAAGGAAAGATTTGAAGAGGAATTACTGGCAATGCATCTTTTACTGTAATAATGTTTTTTAACTTAAGAATTCACCATATTTTTCAATTACATCTCATAAATCAAGACAGTGAGGTGGGGGGTAGGGGGCAGCTGCAATCATTTGTACAAAGACCCTCACTGGACAGCCCTCTCTTTCACTTCCCCACCCCCCTGGCAATTGTGACTCTATCCCCCCACCCCACCCCGCCACCTTCTCCATCTACCTTCTTTTTTCTTCTTTCTTCTCACTAAAAGCCTAAAACAATGCTCCCTCACTTCCTCTCACAGAAATGCCATAGGAAATATCACGAAAACATCATCATCTTTCCAAATGATAAAAATGCAGTCTAAAACATTAGAATGTGTACTTATCATAATTTGGATTATAAAAACCTGGGGGATTTGAATTACTTGTATTATTCCAATGTGATGGGGGGTTGCTGGTTGTTTTGTTTGGTCTTGTTTTGTTTTTGGCCTTTTGAGACAGGGTCTCACTATGTGGTTCAGGCTGGACTCAAACTCACAATGATCCTCCTGCCTCAGCTTCCTGATCACTGGGATGATAGGTATGCACCATACAATGCACAGTTATCAGGACAGAAGAGACAAGGAAGCAAGCAAAAGTTAGAGAAAAGCTGGAGTTTTTCAGTTTTTTAAATTGCATATTAGTTATAATAAGCACTTATTAGTTATACAAAAATGGGTTTCATTTTGGTATATTTGCACATACATTTGACATATTTTAATTATTCTACCCCATTAGCCTCCTTCCCTGCCCTTTTCTCATTCCCTTTCTTTTCTCTAATAATCTCTCTTCTATTTTCCTATCAGCTTTCTTTTTTCCTTTTTTGATTCCACATATGAGAGAAAACCTGCAATATTTGACTGGGTCTGTCTTATTTTGAATATTTTTAAGATTTAAAGTTGAGTAGCCTCTTCAGGCTAGTCAGGGGCTTAACTTGCATGCAGCAGGAGGAGAGGAATCTGCTCATGATGGTGTCAAGGGTGTTCCAGCTAAAGCACAGGCTCTGTGCTTATCGAAGAAGAAATGACCTCTGATATTTTGCAAGCTGTTTCCACAGGCTGCCCTGGTTCCGTGAGGAATGCAATACTGAGTGTGGCAGTGTATGGATCAAGAAAATTGCTAGGAGTAAATGTGATCACATTAAGCCATTCTTCTAGCTCTGTGATTTACACCCAGTCTTTGACCTCACAGTTAGTGGGATCTTTCATGTCTTTCTACATAGAAATTAAGAGAAAATCTAGATCCCAGTAATATGAAAGACCTCAAATGTCAAAGGGATGACAGCAATCTGAAAGCCCTTTTAAATTAAGGCATCAGAGAGGTAAAATTTAAAAAGAAAGAATAATCATTTCTTAATCTTGTTTAGTGATTCCCTATAAAATATTTTCTTTTAAGATCCTTTGTTTATTTTAATTTCTAACTTTTCATGAGTAACTTTGTTTTTCTTCTTGGTTAAGAAGTGTCTAATTGAGCCGGGGATTTAGCTCAGTGGTTTCGCCGCCTGCTACCCAAGTCCAAAGACCCGAGTTCGATCCCTGGTACAAAAAAAAAAAAGTGTCTAATTGAAAGAGAATATGTATGCTTAAGGTTTCCAACATGTGAACCTGATTTATATTTTATAATCTCATGGTTAACATCACTGAGAGTTTAAATCAATTATACACCTGTGTATAATTGTTAAGTAGGATATTTAATCCTCTAACTCGCTCAAAACTTTTGAAGTGTTATGCAGTCATAGAGAACCCTTCAACTTCCTTCATTTACTTTAACTTAATCACTTGAACTTTAATGGGGTGTCATAAGAATTTGAGATTACTACTATAGAAAACTAATCAAAATCAAATTCTGCAAGTATCAAAAATGTCTACATTGTTATTATATTAAAATTGACTTTCATTTGTAATGTCATTTACACTCATGTAAAGCAATTATCTGTAAGGTTTTCTTTAATTACAGGAATCACTTATTAATTCCTTATATAAGTATTTTCAAATAGAACAAGGACAGCAAACAGACACACCTTAAGCAAATCAAAGAGTGGGAAAAGATAGATGCAGAAAAAAATTCAGCCAGCCTTTTGATCTACATAAAAATATTCAGGAATTGCTTTCTTCTGGGCCAGTCGGAAACTGAACTCCAAGTGTCATCAAGGAGAAAATTTTTACTTCAACAGAATGCTTTTCCATCAGCTCAGGAATGATTCCTTAGACTAATCCTGCCTTTTTTTTTTAGACAGGGTCTTGCTGTGTATAGTTCAAGCTGGTCTTGAACTCACTATGTGGCCCAGGCTGGCCTCGAACTCATGGCAATCCTCCTGCCTCAGCCTCCCAAGTGCTGGGATTACAGCCATGCACCACCATGCCCGGCTATCCTGCCATTCCAACTGGAGGTAAGGAAGACTCAGGACAAAGTTCCTTCTGTGCTCCGAAGGCACTAAGCCAGGCCACACTATTCCTGCTTCCCAACTGTCAGCTGCTTCTCTCTTCCCTTTTCCTTTCCTTTCCCACACTACCCACCTAAGAAAGGAACCTGCTGGGGACATCAGAAGAATCTCTGCTGCCACAGATGTGGCCATGTCCCCACCCCATCATACCACAAGCACAGGGTGGCAGAAGAACTGTAGCTCCTGCAGCAAGAGCCCCATGACCCGGACCCCATCTAGGCTGAGCTGTCCCAGGGAAGTTCAGATGACCTTGACGTGCAGGAGAGCAGCAGGGAAAGAGGGTGAAGCCACAGTGTCCCCTGTCAGATCAAAAATGTGACCTGATTATGCAATCAGATAATAATTGACAAGACCTCCAGAATCTAATTTATCTTTAGCTCCCTAGCATCTTGACACATCTGATTACAATTGGCTCATTCTGATTACATTTAGCCACATGAATTAACAGGAAGAGCTCACATTTGCTCAGTATTGGCTCATCCCCTGCAGAAGCAGAGCAAATTTTTTTGCTGGCTAAAATCATGATCCAGGAATGAACTAATCCAAGATGTGACCCTTTTGTACCTGACTCTATTTTGTTCCAGAGAGTGTTTTCTCTACAAAAAATGTACTTAAACCTTGGAATTGTGTGAGTTAGTGGTTTAGAGTGGCTTTGGCCATAGGTTAGACTGAAAAGTGCTTGATGTTTAGGAACAAAATAATTCAGGGGTTTGTTGGCTGTGGTGCTATTGCACCAACCCTACTTCTGCTGGGGAAAATGGGACGGAGGGCTGCTCTTCTCTATGACATGGGTGGTATTAAGGAGAAAATGGCATGAAGTTTATTCTCCAGTTTTCAAGGAAAAGGGGATCTCTTACAAGTCTCTCTCTTAAGTATTAAAATCAGTATTGATGAGATTGTAGGACCTCATTCTTGGGGACCATGTAATCTACATTTTTAATGAAGGTAAGACTAAACCAACAACAGATTTTTGCTGCTTGAACAAAGGAAACTCTAAAGCAATTTCATACTTTCCAAGTGCAAATACAACTTAAGGGAAATAAGACAGGAAAGCACAGCTGGTGTACTATATTAGCCTGGAATAAAGAAACTTTTATCAGTGATGGTTGAGTCTATGCCTGTGCATCTGGGCTCCCTCGAGGTTGTGTTAAGGGGAAATGGAATCAAAACAAAATAGTCAGAAACAAGTGGAAATGAAAAGGAAGCACATAGGAAACAAATACAGGGAGGGAAGCATTACTGAGGGCAAGCAGAGCTGGAAATCTGTGCGCCCTGAGATCTGATCCCCTCCCACAGCCATGACTCCTCTGCACCCGCACGGTATCCAAGTCCTCTTGGGGTAGCCAGCTTCCTGCCAGGTCCCCCATCTTCCTGCTGAACTCCTGTGCACAGCGCTGTCAAGAGTAGACAGGGCCAGGGATTTAGCTCAGTGGTTCCACCGCCTGCCTCTAAAGTGCAATGTCCTGAGTTCAATCCCCGGTACCAAGAATAAATAAATAAATAAAATAAAGAGTAGACATCTGAGAGCCTTTGGGTTTGGTGCCCTGCCCTCTCCCTGGATTGGTAAAGCTATCTGCCAAAGCCGGGCATGGTGATGCACACCTGTAATCTCAGCACTAGGGAGGCTGAGGCAGGAGGTTCACTGCAAATTTGAGGCCAGCCTGGACTACAATAGTGAGTTCAAGGTCAGCTTGAACTACATATCGAGACCTTGTCTCAAAAAACAACAAAAAATATTTTTAATTTAAAAAAGAAATAAAGCCACCATGCCAGAACCATGCTGAGTTACATCTCCCTCTTCCAAACTCCTCTAACCTTTTTCTGCAAGGCCATGATTCTCTTCGGGGAGCTGATCTTAGTCCACCAGCCCAGGAGAGTGGGAGCTTCTCCCATGTCTGGTACCCTCCAGTTGCTCAGAAATGCCTGCTGCTCTAATGAGGACCTTCCTGTTCACTGCTGTCAGTATTAATTCAGCCATGTGTCTTGTGTGTCTGAGATGTGGCATTTTTAGGACCAGAATATTAGCATTTGGGTAATCATTTCCCCAAATCATCATTTACTAATTCAAACTTGAAGCATGTGAGAAGATGAACAGAAAATAAATTTGCTCATGGTTTACAGAAGTTAATTATAATGGTAAAAATGTAAGATATGAAAAATAAACTGAATTATTTGTACAGGTGGAATAAAAAATATAACTGGGGGCCTGGGATTTAGCTCAGTGGTACCTAGCCTGCCTGGCAAGTGCAAGGTCCCAAGTTCAATCCCCGGTACCACATTTTTTAAATATTCAAACAGATGATCTGAGGAACATTAATCACCCGAGAAGCTCCTCCCAGCCTCCTTAGGAGAGCCACTAGTGCCCAGGCAGGGGCAGAGGCTGCACATCTGCACCTGAGGTATCTGCTGGACTCTGTTGCCCTTTTTCTTCCTTCAGAACACCTTTTTGATTCCTTATAACTTGGACTCCACAGGACACACTGCTCTAAGCAGCTGGAGAGTGAGGCAGGACACAGAAGGAGCCACTGTTTCCTCTTTCAGAGCAAGTGGCAAAGACTTAACAGAATCAGTTCATCCAGAGTCACACACGAACAAGCGATGGAGACACCAGGCCTCAAGTGCTGTCTACGCTGGGCACTGCACTCGCTCAGGGCTGGCAGTTCTAAGGTCCTCATCTACCAGACCCAGGAGGGACCTTGTGTGCAACCCCTCATTCTCAGAAGGGGGTTCCAGAAGAGGTAAAGGACTCTTGCAGGATCTAGAAACAAAGTGAGGTGGAGCTGGGACTCAATTCTGGGGCTGGTATCCTCGAGCCTGAGCGTCATAGCATACCCACCGCCCCACCTATATTCCAGAATAGAAAACTTATCATTCCAAAGTCTCCTCAAGGTCTTTGACTTTTTCATTCTAACTGGTTCCTGATATGATTTTAGAGCCAGCTGGGAGATGCTGTCTCTATCAGAAAATATTAAGGTACAGCTACACATGGTGGTGCACACCCGTAATCTTAGTACTTCTGGGGCTGAGGCAGGAGAATAGCAGGTTTGAGCTCAGCCTGGGCAACTTAGCAATTTAGCAAGACTCTGTCTCAAACCAGGCATGGTGGTGCATGCCTGTCACCCCAGCATTCAGGAGGCTGAGGCAGGAGGATTGCTGCAAGTTTGAGGCCAGCCTAGGCTACTTAGTGAGTTTAAGGCCAGCCTGAACTACATAGCAAGACCTTGTCTCAAAAAACAAATAAACAAAAGACCCTGCTTCAAAATTAAAAAAAAAAAAAATAGAAAAGGGCTAGTGATGTAGCTTAGTGTAAAGGCCCTGAGTTCAATCCCCAGTACCAAAAAATAAGAAAAAAAGGAAAAAAAGGGATATTTATATTTTTAGGCATTTCCCTGGTACATTTAACAGGTTGAATAGCACTTAACTATTTCCAGTACTCTTGGTATCTTTTCTATAAACCATGAATGATACATTTCCAAAATGTGTGTGAGAGCATGTATTTTTGCCGTAAATTCCTCAGTTTACTGACTTGAATAGCTGAGAATGCTTTTGTTTTTGAAAGTGCAAGTTGGAACATGAGCTTTGATGAGCCCTGACTTTCCCTCAGGGAAGTAGTTCTTCCCTTCCTTTGTTTTGGATCTGATAACTGATATGGATCCTCTGTCCCAGAAAAAAAAAATGCATGTCAATACACAGTGTTGCCCATCATTTCAAAGTGTTCTTGGGCTCCACTGAAATCCTGCTCTAAAATGTGACATTGCGACATCTTCTAGGTATCTGCTAACTTCAACTTGTGACTTTGTGTACGTCCAGCTCTAATTTGGGTGAGAGTTTGCAATCTTGAAATTAGTAGTAGGCAGAAATTTGGTCTCTGAGTCTAGAGTAATTAAAATGTACTTTAAAGTTCCCCTAAAGCAGCTACAATAATTTTTAATACCAATGAAGTACAAGTACAATGAAAATCCCTAAAAAATATATTTTCATCACTTAGCTATGATTTATTTAACCACCTTTTAGTGAATGGACAGTGGGGTACACTTCTGTCCTCCACTTCCCCAAGACCCAACATGGGAGATTATAAGGGAAACTTAAAGAGAAACAAAGAGAAGCAAAAGAAGATCTCCATTAGAGTGAGAACCTGGACTTGTTATAAACCAAAATTGGACTCTGCATCTTTCTTCCCTGCTTGGGATGATTCAAACTCCCTATTTTCCAGAGTCAGCTGGCCAGAAGTGTCTTGGTATCACTTAGTGCTGGTTCTCTCCAACCCTAGTCTGCCAAATCACCTTTACAAACAGCTTCCATTGAAAACATCTTCAAATGCCAAGAAAAGAGGGCAAAGAGTCAGGAAAAATACATGTGGAAAACCAGTTTTAGGCAGCCAATGCCTTAAATTAAATTAAGTGTTGAAAGAGTCACCAGGCACAGTATCGCATGCTTGTAATCCTAACTATTCAGCAGGCTGAGGCAGGAGGATCATAAGTTCAAGGCTAGCCTGGGCAGTTCAGCAAGAACCTGCCTCAAAACAAATAATAAAAAGGGCTGGGAATATAGCTCAGTGATACAGCACTTGCTTAACAGGCATAAGGCCCTGGGCTCAATCTCCAGTACCAGAAAAAAGGGGGAAAATGTCAGAAAGAAAAAGAGCTAAAAAGTCAATTGTCAAAGAGGAAGACCAAGAAAATATGAAATGAAAGGCCTTTTCCATCTAGAAACAAAACCAGTGTGCGCATGGCATTTACAGAAGTTCTGCAAGAAGTAGACATTTCAGCTATAGGTTAGTTTAAACCATTTACTGTAGCAAATAAGGTAGTAGAGAGGCTTGTGCATAATTTATTTTTTGAAACAGGGTCTTGCTATGTAGTTCAAGCTGCCCTTGAAGTAACTCACTATATAGCTTAGGCTAGCTTCAAATTCAGGCAATCCTCCTCCCTCAGCCTCCCAAGTGCTCAGATTACAGATGTTTGTCACCACCTCTGGATGGCTTGTGCATAATGAGTCAAACTGCCAGCAAATAAACAATCATGGGTTTTCTCATGGCAGTGAGGTGGGGGGCTGCAATGTGGGCCTTACCTGCTTTGAAAGAGGAGGGAAGCAGCACTACCTTTGTCTCAATCTACACCTGCTGATGAGAGCTGCTCAAATCACAGGGTTTGCATTTCCACTTCAAATTCCTTAATGGGACTCAGGGCTGAAGCTTGGGGAGCTGGCCCAGCTGCAGCCTTCTCCAGTCCCTTCAGAGTGCTGGCAGTGAGAGTCAGGGCCGTGAAGCCCCCTGAGTAAGTACATACCTGGGGCAGCTTCATGTCGTTAATGTCCCAGCTCAGCAGCTCTTTGTCTTCAGAGTCAAAGTCACTGGGCTCCATGATGAGGCCAGGCTCTCTCGGAAGGATGAAAGTTTTGCTCTTGGAGGCTCCTGATATTGGTGGATCAATCTACTCCAGCTGTTCAGACCTGAAGACTGGCTAAAAAAAAGGAATGATGGTAACACTGACCATTCAAGAGATTAAAATCGTGCCTTTCTGCCAGAAATAGGCTTCACCGACATTTCTGCAAGTACCAACACAGGAATAAAGAAGGGGCTGTGGAAGGCTGCCCTAGGGAGCCAGAGCAGAGAGGTTGACGCCGCGACGCTGCTGCCCTGAGGTCTGCACCTCTGTCACTGCTGTCCCCAGGTTAGGAACGCCTTCGTCGAAACTGCTGTTATCTGTGGCCAATGGGTAGGACCTTCTTCAGAAGAAGAAGAATTGGCTTGGACTTGTTCCACAAAAAATGTCTTCATAAATTAGCTAACATGGCTGAAATTGCAAGACAGGAACATCACACTGGATTGATCTAAGTATCTGTTAATCCAAATTGCCACAGGGGTTAGTTTTGGTGTCCTCTGTGTATCCTTTGTGCCCTGTGTACCTTCAAATATCATCAACAAGGATATCATCCTTATGCTGTCAGGTTTTTCTGAAACAGGGCTGCTTAACCTCAGCACTACTAACATTTTGAACTGGACAATTCTTTGTCGGGGGAGTCTCGCACATTGGAGAACATTCAGCAGCATCCCTGGGCTCTTCCCACAGGGGCCAGTGGCTGGTCCCCCAGTACTTTCTAGCTGTGACAAACAACAGAATAGCCAGACACATGTCCATGGGGCAGAGGCTGAAACTGCACATTTAGGAGCTGCTTTAAACTACTGCTTCTTCACCTTTCTTTATCCCAAAGGCTCCTTAATGATTTTTCTGAGTTTATGTTCGGTAATAACACTCTGCCCCACCTCTCAAGAACATCCCATCTCATTTCTTTGATTTAATTGCATTATGTAAATGATATTCAAAAATGTTTGTTCAAGCTGCATTTATTCCAATTTTTAATTATAATTGATTAAAGAGGATTTAGGAAGGAAGGAGAGAGGGGAAAAAAAGAAGGAAGAAAGGAAAGAGGAAAAGAAGGAGATTTAAAATATTTCTCTGAGGGAAAAACTGAAACATTTTGCAGATAAAATGTGCTTATTAATAAGATATAAAGTGAAAGATATACCCAGGCGTGGTATTCCAGCTACTCAGGAGGCTGGTACAAAAGGATTGCAAGTTTGAGGCCAGCCTGAGCAACTTAGCAAGACTCTGTCTCAAAACAAAAAATAAAAAGGGCTAAGGATATACCTTATTAGTAAAGTGTCCCTGGGCTCTATCCTCAGTACCATTAAAAAAATAAAAAGAAGAAGCAAAACATATTTGGGTGTGGGACATTTCTTTCATTTGTTGGTATTCTTATATAAGGGACGTGGTGATGTTACATAGAGCTATTCAATAATAAACTCAAACCACTAGTTACATCAGTAGTCTGAAACTTAGCAAGTCTCAGAAGCGCTGGGCCTTAGTTACTCATCTGCCTTTAACTCTAACACTGCACCATCCCGGCTCTCCATGTGGGAGTTGTCATTAAGTGACAAGATTAGCTGAACTCTTCCCTCTCTGTCCTGCGTTTACACCTTTAAACTCAAGGCACATGAAATCCCTGCTCCCCACTTCAGACACTGACTTTCAAGAGTAAACCCCCAAGAGGGGTTTTGTTTCCTTTCTTTCTTGTTTTCAGCAGTGCTGGGGATCAAACCAAGGCCCTGCACATGCTAGGCAAGTGTTCTATTACTGAGCTATGCACTGGCCCAATGCCATGAGCTTGAAGTAAAATTCTATGTTTGGGAAATAAACAGAGTAGCCAAAGAGATGGTTGAATTTAAGGTGGGGTCAAGGCTACCCCACTGGGATAGGATAGATGCTGGAAGGACAGACAGGGTTGTTTGTGTGGATGAACCCCACTCATGAGGTGGAACAAGGTATCCGAAGGCCCTGAATTGGAAACCACAGGTAGTAACTGAGGCAAACCTGCCAGCTCTGAGGGTCTGGCGGGGCTGTCGTGAGCCACCAGCAATGTGACCTGAACTCAGGGGTGTTCTGCAGCTATCCCTATCTCTTTTCATTTTTTGAGACAGGTCTCCATAAATTACCTAGACTAACCTGGAACTTGTCATCCTCCTGCATCAGCCTCCAGGGTAGGAAGGATTACGAGCATAAACCACTGTGCCCACCCAGCTCATAGGCCTTAAATAACTAATATAAAAGACATCCAGCAGCAGTTTTACGTGCTTACCTCATTGAATAGTAACAACAGTAACTCTGAGAACCCAAATTTTGTCACCATTAACTAGAATAGAATTATTTTTAGGGCTGAGGGCGTAGTTCAGTGGTAAAGCACATGAGTGAGGCCCTGGGTTCAGCCCCTGGCACCACACACACACACAAAGAATAGATTCATTTTTTAAAAAACTTTAGAAAATAACAATTATATTTTCAGAAATCAAAACCATTGTTTGTAGTTGAGGTTATATAGATGTAATTCTCTTACTTGCTTTTAAATTCAGGGGAGGGGAAAAATCTCACCACAGGAAAATTATGTTGTTTTTGTAGATCTTCTTCTAATATAAACTTTTGCCAAATGGATAAGCATTAATTTAATATTTTTCTGAAGATCAAGAACATAGGAAGAAAATACAGAAAAGAAAAAAAGACTGTTCTACAACCCTTAAACAAGAGAACTCAGTTTTCTCCAGAATAAAAAGAAAAAAAAACTAAACTAAATCTTTTTGGTTTTTGTTTTTTCATTTTTTGAGACAGGGTCTCATTATGCAGTTCAGGCTGGCCTTGAACTCGAAGCAATTCTCTTGCCTCAGTCTCAATCCTCCTAGCTCAGCCTCCCAAGTGCTGGGATTATAGATGTGTGCCACCCGCCTGGCTAACTAAGCTGAAATTGTCAAGACTTCCTGAAAGCACCTTGGCCAGAGTGCATTCGGTTTTCTTCATTGCTACAGAAAATGAACTTAAGCAAGTACCACCCCGTAGGAGAGGATGGCCATCACCTCACCTCCACTTGCCTCTCCTCGCTAGTCCTGCTTCCTTACCTTCCAATTCCTCATCCAGATGCAGACACTGTGTCATCAACTTCATCTGTGCCGCAGGTCCCAGCAGACTCCAGTCATTTTCTGAGCAGACACTGTACGCTAACTCCAGGTCAGGGTACAGTATGCTAATGAGCCCTGGCCACAGGCCAATCAGAATCCACGTGTGCTAGAGGCCCAGAAGGAGCAGCCTGGCCCCTCTGGCTGCCAGCAGGCAGTGGACATTCTGGGCCGTGGATGCCAAGTCTCCCCTCCCTGGTGCCCAGGGGACGCTTGGACTGAAGTGGACAATGAGAAGAACGTCAAGAGAAGTGGAGATGTTTTCCTTCGTGTATTTTTATAGGTTGCACCCAAAGCAGACCAATTGGCAGTAGATCCTACTCTCCCACCCTGCGTGCTGTATGCGTTCAAAGGAGAGAAGTCAGGCAGGGTGGGACACGACTGGAATCCTAGCTCCTCGGGAGGCTAAAGCAAGAGGATTGCAAGTTCCAGCCCAGCCTGGGCAACTTAGCGAGACTCTGTCCAAAATAAAAATAAGAAAGGGCTGAGGATGCAGCTCAGTGGTCCCAGGGTTTAATTCCCAGGACCCCACACAGAGAAAGAGCAGACAGACATACAGAGGTAGAGAAAGGTTACGGTGATACACATCATTGGAATAGATCTTAGATAGCCACCATCAAAACCAGAAACACCAAAATGCTAACCTCCCTGAATGACAGTGACCTACTAATTCCGAGAGTTTTATTCCCCCAAATAATACAATTCTTCCTTCCCAAGACATTTGTGGTGCAGATCTTCCTTCTACAGATAATCTTTCTTTAGTGCCACAGCACCAGTTCCATTCCTCTGCTGTGTTCTACTTAGCCTGCTAGGCTCTGGGAGAGTTAAGAAGTTCAGTCCAAAATTCAGCCCTGATGGTGCAGGCCTGTTATCCCAGGACTCGAGATGCTGAAGCAGGAAGATTGCAAGTCATAGGCCAGGGTTACATAGAGTTCAAGGCCAGCCTTGATTATATAGCGAGACCCTGTCTTTTTAAAAGAAAAAGCAAGCAAAACAGGTCATTCAGCCTAGTAGAAAAGATGAACAAAGATGCTCCAGAATGCCAATTCCAGTGTAAGGCATGGAATAGAGGCTATCTAAAGGTACAGGAGAAAGTTATTAAGCAGGAGGGAGAAGAAGCAGGGAAAACTGTCACCAAAGGGATGTGCAGTCAGCCTTTTGAAGGATAAGTTAGGATAAATACTGTCACCTGGGAAGAGGTGGTGGGATTAGTAGTAACATCAGTGGGGGCATTACCAGGGGCCAGAACTTGCCAGGAAGGTCCCAGCTCTCAGAGCCCAGGCTGGGGAGGAAGAAGAGCTCTTGAAAGTGCAGTGCCCAGAGCCTCACTGTTGGGCTGGGAGCATCCACGATCTCTAGCAGTACTGTCTTTCAGTTCGCAAACTAGCTCCTCTCTGGCCTGGTCCAGCTTCAGATCTCACTTAACTATCTTGTGCTTAACTATCTTGTGCTTTATCTGGCCAATCCTGGTTTTCTCTCTGTAGTAAACACCCATCTGTGGTTAGGAGGATCTTTCTCCAGCCTCCAGAAGCCTAACCTTCACCAACTGGTCAAAGAGAAATATCCAAGGGTCCAGCTCCAGAACCACAAAGCAGGGCTCAGCACGGATTTAGAGCTGAAAAGTAATCGTGAGAACTGGCACACCAGCCAGGACTGCCCCTCGCTCACAGCTTCTCTCCAGGGTCTTTCTCCATCCGTATATCTAATTCTGTCCATCTTCTGGGGGCCCCCAAACATCAGCTTCTTATGTATCTGTCAGATACTATTCTACAACACATGATTTCCCATTTCTGTTCCAGAACTATTAACTCTGAATTTTATACTGTTTCATATCACTTAGGGCTAAGGGTTTTTGCTTAATTCAAAATAAATTCAGGGCTGAAGATTTGGCTCAGTGGTTCCACTGCCTGCCTCACAAGCGCAAGGTCCCAAGTTTGATT